ATTCTGGGGGACCACTCAGCTTTCGGGACAGCTACCGAACATTAGTACCGAATTATAAGCAACAGCGGGTACCTTCCCGGGAAAGTGTCTCCTGGGCTTGCCCCTCCATGCCGAAGGCTGATGACGCACACCCCACCTTATTAGTTCCAATGGTTGTCAAGGTAGGTTCAACCTCACTGCCCAAAGATAACTGCCACCGTATGAAGTAGAGAAAGCTCTCCCCTCTCTCCGGTCCCGCAGGAACAATGCGGGGTTCGTCGCAGCTGAGAGCATGAAGTGAAAAGACCTCGCACCCACACAATGCATTACAAACGCAAACTGGATCGCCGGGCGATAGATAGCTTAGGTATTCGTACGGAGTAGCTGTAGCTATACCCAGCCGTACGTAAGTACTTTCCTCTGCCGGGTAGCTTTGCCACCTTTGGTATGTTATACGCCTAGCAGCACTTGTACACGGCACACCTTGCTGGGTGAGACCTTGGAGGGGTTCGCTCCTGCATCCCTGCTGGGCGTTCGGCGGTCCATGGTGGGGTAAAATCGGCATCATGATGAAGGAGGGACAAACGGTCAATGGCAGGACGAGGCGGAGGGGGGTAGAGATGAATCCAAGCCAAGCCAAGCTCTCTCTCTGTGCTCCTCCTCCACTTCTCCGATCTGAATTCGAGTGGACTTAACTCGGTGTTTTTATTTATTAGACCTCCTCAGATGCCGCCCTTCCTCTTGATAACCCCCAGGTCCTCTCTTTTTTTCCTTTCTTCCAGGCATAGAATAATTTCAAGCTCTTCTTCCTCCCCCACTCCCTTCAACATCTCTCGTCTTGCTTGATAACGAACAGCATTATATACCCCCCTTTCAACACCCAATTGACACATAGTTGATACCCAAAACAGCAAAATAGCAACAATGGCCACCGCAACCTTCCAAACCAAGGCGACCATCACCTCCTTTGGGGGCCAGCTCCTCAAGCTCTCCCACAAGTCAAACTCCACCGGCACCGACATGGCCGTGAACCTCTACCTGCCCCCGCAGGCAACCACACGCGCCGTCCCCGTCCTCTTCTATCTCTCGGGCCTGACCTGCACCCCGGACAACTGCACCGAAAAGGGCTTTTTCCAATCCCAGGCCTCCGCCCGCGGCCTCGCCGTCGTCTACCCAGACACCTCCCCGCGCGGCCTCGACCTCGCCGGCGAGCGCGATTCCTGGGACTTTGGCGAGGCGGCCTCCTTCTACGTCGACGCCACCCGCGAGCCCTTCCGCCAAAACTACAAAATGGAGACCTACATCACAAAGGAGCTCCCCGAGCTGCTCTTCCGCGAGTTCGCAGGCAAGCTCGACCGCTCCCGCATCTCCATCACGGGTCACTCCATGGGCGGCCACGGCGCGCTGTCGCTCTACCTCCGCCACCCGGGCATGTACCGCTCCGTCAGCGCCTTCGCCCCCATCGCCAACCCGTCAAAGTGCCCCTGGGGCGAGAAGGCCTTCACGGGATACCTCGGCGACGACCGCGCCGAGTGGGCCAAGCACGACTCCACCGAGCTCGTCAAGAACTGGAGCTACGGTCCCCTGAACGCCCTCATTGATGTCGTAAGTTTCTTGAGCTCATATGATCACAATGACGCATATGGGAGCTGGCACTAATACAAGAGATACCAGGGCCTCGGTGACAACTTCTACATCCAGAAGCAACTGCTGCCCGAGAACTTTGAAAAGGTCGTCAAGGAGAAGAACCTCCAGGGTCTGAGCCTGAGATACCACTACGTAGGTTGAGCCCAATTCATCGTCATATTCAAACTTTTAGACGCTGACCAGAGTATGTAGGGATATGACCACTCCTACTTCTTCATGGCCTCCTTCGCCAAGGACCACGTAGACCACGCTGCCAAGCACCTGGGTCTCGGCTCCGCGTGACTCGAAGGTCGGACAAGACTGTAAACAAAGTAAACGATAACGTTGACGTCAATGATCAGGGAGCACGCAGTGAGGGAGGGAAAGGAACCAAAGGTCAAGCCGGGTCGGAATACCAAAGATGTCGAGAGGACAAAGAGACGTTGCGTGCGCGCAGTCGACATGTAGTTCTTCTTTCTTAAGTAGGGTAGTAGTAGGTTGCTGCTGAGATTCTTGAAATTTGAGAATAATAATCGACGTTTCATCCACTCCGTTCCAATCATGACCTTCGTGAAGAGAAAAAAACAAAAATCCCCCCAAAAGCACCTATTCTCCTGCCGCATGGAGTATTTGCGCATGACATGAGTGTGATATAGCAGAAACGCCGGTGCCGGGTAATATGAGAGAGAGAGCGCCGGCCGTGATGGGAGTATATCTAGTTAGATGCAACCGAAGAAGTCAGGAAAAGCGCCTAGCTGACCCGTTTCTCCACCTCGGGACTCAAGCCCTCCTTTTCGAGCTTCGCCCGCATCTCGGCGTCCATCTCCTTGCGAATGCGGTTGTAGGCCAGTTTCTCGAACCGGCTGAGAGCCTTCCACCAGTGCTGCCCCGCCTCGTGCTCGCCAATGCGTTCCAGCAGGTCGGCCGTCTTGAGGCGCACTTCGCGGTCCTTGTGGAAGAGGCCAAGTGCGACGTAGAACAGGCCAGCATGCGACTCTGGCGCAACGCTCAACAGCAAACAGATCTCGTCGTAAGAGTGGACATACTTGTGAAACGCTGCGTAGATTTCCTTGCTTTGCATCGGGTTGAGCCGTTGTGTCCGTAGTCGGTCGTGCATGTGGTGTAAGTCGAGGCCCTTCAACGGCCTCACTGTGTAAAGCAGTGCGAGATCCTACGACGATTAGTTTAAGTCCTTGAGAACAGGGACAGGTTCCGTGGCTCCCTTACCTGGATGAAGCTGTAGTAGCTCCTTGTGTTCCTCCACCCTTCGATCCTCGTCACATTACCCGCAAGCTCCTTGTGTTTCGATTGTTCATCAGGCCACACGTAGCCGTGCCCGTTCACGCCCACCGGACCCATCTCTAGTTCGTCGCCGCCAATGTAAAGAGCACTTGCGCCGTACACACTTTCCTCAAACGCAGCTGCGATTCGCGTGAATTTGATAACCCAGTCTCGCCATTTGGCGCGTATTACTCTCTCACCGTGCCTTGCCGCGATACTTCGTAGGATATCTTGCATGAAAGCCGCGTCGCCTGTCAAATCACTTTCGGCCGCGACCTTGGAGGTGCCTCCGACAAGCCCAGCGTATGAGGGGTTTTGCTGTTGAAAGTAGACCATTCCCTCCGTTACTGGAGCCGAATCGATCTTGCTACTGATCTTGACTCGGCCTGTAGGCAAGTCGCACAATACATCCCACCACTCGGGGTGCAGTTCGAATGTCGGATTGGTGACTCCAGCAATGAAGCCGGGAACATTGAGGAGATCATCGATCTTGGTCAAGTCGGTATAAGGAAACGCGTGACGCGTGAAGCCCCTGAGCGTACCGCCGGATGCCAAGGCGCAGGCCGCCAAGACTGCCTCCGCAACTTCGCCTGATGGCATATTGTGCCCCAGGAAGATCACCCGCTTTTGCGTCAACAACGCATTGACCAATACAATGATGGGGTGCGTATGCGGGCCGTTTGTCGTCAATTGAGGATGCAAGGGGAACGGTAGTGGCGCCTTGCCTTGTGGCTCCGAAAACTTCTGGATCAGTTTGATCAAAGAAAAGTCGCCCACCGTTTCCGGCATGACAGCGACGGGAACTTTGATGGGAATTGGTATGCCCTTGTACATGACTCTGCTTTCAAACTCGTGTGTGTCCCTTGGAACCGAATACTGCGAAGCACCTTCGACGTGCGCTTTTGTTCCTGCTCTAGAAACACCCGGCAGTTTTGGAGGGTCTCGACTTGCATCGAAAGGCTGATCTGAGAGGTGTTCGCCGCGGTCCTCGGCTATCCGCATTTGAATCATTTGCTCAAACTTTTCCACGAACAGATCTTTGTTGTCACTAGCCAAAAGCAGGTGCCTCTCAAGTAGGCTAAGCTTCGGCATGAGAGACAGGTCCATTGCGTTGACGGCATCGTAGAGCATCGCCAGCGTCTCGGGAACGGGCGCCTTAAAGTACTCGTCCAAGGCAAGCAACAAAAGGGGCTGATAAAAGTAAGCCGGCTGATCAAGCGAGGGGAGCAGAAGGCTAGCAAGTTCTCACCTTGTATATATGCAGGAAGGGATGCCTCGTGCAGATTGCCATCGCCTTGACAACAGCACCTCTCTTGACCGTTTTGTCCTGCTTTGTGTTGACCAGGTTCAGAACATAGATCAACGGCGGGCCTTCTCCGCCTTCGGGTTCGCCGTCGTCGGAATCCTCGTCGTCGTATTCGTCCAAGTCATCAAGGTCCCCCTCATCTTCGTCCAAGTCCGCGCCGTCATCTTCCTCGTCGACGATGCCAGCAGCGCGATTGCGCAAACGCCTTCTTCTCCTCTTCCTGGCCTCTTTCGCCTTACGTTCCTCGTCCTCTTCCTCTTGGCTCGTGTCCTTGTGTAAGAAGAAAATAGTCCAGTCCTGATTCCGAACATGGGCCTGATCGGGCAACATGAGTTCTGCGAGCATATGCTCGTCGCCAGTAATGGAAACAGGGTATTGGTGCTCCATGACCGGGCCCCGATCTATATCGAACGAGGCCACCAAGATGTACTCGACATGGTTCTCGGTGGAACCTCGCGGGTATTGCGAGCGCAACTTGCGGGGAGGATGCGCATCCGGATTGTATCGCCTCGGGGCAGACAGCGACGAGTGTTGTGACGAGACACCAGTGGACGGTGTCTTTGACTTTGAGCTCGGGTTCGAGGAGCGGTCCGTCTCGGCAATGGGAGGCGGCTGGGGAGATCGCGACGGGCGAGATGTGTTGGACATTGACGAAGGCGATCGCGAAGCTGGGAAACTGGAGAGTGAAGTGCGACGACTAGGCCAAGGGCCGTTGGGCGGTGGAGGGTACTGGGTCTGCGTGTTTGAATAGTTGCGCGTGAGGAACGGCAGCGCAGCTTGGGTCGAAGCCATGCTTGTGAAAGCAATGTTAAATTGCGGAGTTGTTCAACAAGTCGGTAGCTGGGGGTTTCAAGGTGTTGCGCAGGCTGCCGGTCGCCACAGCCATCCAAATGCAGTCGAGAGGTCCGTTCGTGGAGGTGCAGCAAAAGTAGGTTTGTCTCCGATCGAGAAATGCGACGATGGTGGGAGCCCTTTGCTGACAATTTCCCAGAAAGATTAACGGCTCGCAGCCAACGACATTCGACGGTGATGCTGCGACATTAACAAGGGCAATCAAGTGATTATTTGCCAGGTCGTCGTCGCTGAAATCGTACAATAGGTGATTGGAGATCGGGCGTCCTTGAAGCCGAATGCGAGTCGATGGGCCAGGATGCAAGATGCGAGATGGAGGGGGGGGAAGGGCGGCGACGGAAGGGTAGATGGGTACGAAGCACGGAGTACGAGGGAACGGGAGGACGGAGTTGGCGAGGCGGTATAGTACGTAGTTGTATCCTTAGGTGCTAGGTAGTCCAGGAGCGGTATTGGTAAGGTGGTGTAGGTATGCGCGGTAGGTAACCGTATTCAAGTCCAGGGTAGCGCGTGGAGGCGTTCTCAGACGATAGCCGAATGCGCTCTTCGAAACGTCAGATGCAGGCGAGTGACTGACATTTACCAGTCTTTGCCAACCAGCGGAAACAGGATGGCCCCTCCGGCACACGAGGGGGAGAGAGAGCAGGTATATCCTGTCGGGGGACAGATGCAGAAAGCGTCAATGCGTGGAAGAGAAAATCACCGAGACATGATCTGCTTCGACGTTTGGTCTGGTCTTCTGGTCTCGTCGGTTCTTATTGGGTTGCCCGCAGGCGTTCTTGGTATCCTTGACTTCTTAAAGGTAGGTTTCCGTACGGAGTAGTGCGTACAGAAAGGTTTCTAGGAGTCCCAAACCAGGCAGGACTCCTGACAGGGGATAGTTGATAGTGCGGTGCTTCTTTTTCCTCTTTTTTAAAATTGTGCAATCCAATTCGATCCCCCACCGGCTCGAATAATGCTCAGCTAAGGCGCGCCGAAGCAAGGTACGCACCTCTTGGTGCGAACCAAACAGGGCGTCGGATTGAGATGGAGGGGGGAGGTCTTGCAGTGTGCCCCTGGATGGATTGCCGCGACAAGGACCTCTGGTTGGTGGTCGCCGGACACTGGCGGCCCTCCGCGTGTCGCTCGGGGCTAGTCAAAGGTGACGAGTAGAGCAGGTCGTGGTTACGGATAGATTCAGATTCAGAACTCTTCAGCGCGCGTACCTCGGAGGAGCCAGACAAGCCAGGGCCAGCTGGTGGGCAATCGACCGACACACAGACGGGCAATCTGTCAGTCAAGTCAGACACTCAGCCCGGGGACAGACAAAGAGGGAAGAACAGACACGAGGCGGCCCTACGTTGCTGTTAGTGTGTCGTAGGCAGGCAGGTAGTTGACAGCGAGTGTGGGCTCAAGCTGGGATCCGTATCCGGGAGCCAAGTGGGCAGTGTCTGCGAGAGAAAGCGAGAAAGCCTTGGACGAATGCGTCGGGAACAATGCTGATCATGGATTCTCAGTGTCCTCTTTTCCCTCCTAAAATCCCTCTCAAGTCCCCCTCCTTTTGCGGCTTGCCCACCACCTGGCATCAGTGACCACCCACCGACGAATACCTTCCCTTACTATGGAACGGGAAAGGCAGGGCCTTCTTTTCTCGGCTGCCCCCAAGGACCCCCTTGGTCCCCTCCTGCCTCTTCCCCTTTCCACGTTCCTCCCCCCCGCCTTCCCATGTCCTTTGTGCTTTCCCCTTTTGAGAGATTGGTGGTCCGAGCTGTCGCTCTCAACCTAATTTTTGCTTAGCGCCCCAAGGGACCTTACATGAAACCCATGTGGCTGGAGAGAGTCATTTTGGCAGCTGACACAGGGAATTATGGTCAAGCCACATATTGACAGCCACACCTCCCCCCCTCCCTAAGGGATGAGGCTCTCCCCCTTCCCCCCGGGATTGCCATGCACGGACGGGAGGGTCATGCAAGGCTACGGTTGTCACGGAGAAGACGCCTCTGTTTACATTCATCTGTCACCCAAAGCCACCCATTGTCTCTGCTCTGTATCGGACCTTTCCACAATTGAACTGCAACGCCATTTTAAAACCAACGCAGAACCATTCAACCATACATTCTATTCGATACTGATACCAGAAACGCGATACGCAATTTTAGCAGTTGCTTTTCTTCTTTACATTGCCGTCCTCTACTCGTCTCTCGTACGCTTACCGTCGTCTCTCGGCCCAATCCCCATATTTCTCATTGTTTACTTTGCTGCCAAGTGGGCGCGCGGCATCAAAGATCCAGAGCAAGGCACTCCCTATTTCCCACCCACAGCTGCTCCCGCCCCGAACACCTTTTCGATATGGTAGGCTAGGGCCCATTTCGCGCGCGGATCATTACATCTCTTGGAAAGTCGCATGAATTTTGACCTGAAGAACCCACAACAGGCAATGCCCGCTGGCTACAAACCTTCTCCACTAGGGCCTCATGGCTCTCCTCGCAGTTCTCCATTCAGACGACCAGAATCTCCAGCATCGCCATCAGCAGTCCGACAGACCTCAACGACCCAAGTGACACAAGTGACGCCTTTCGGGTCACCCACGAAGGCATCCTACGCTACGAACAACGGGCGCTTCGGCAACCCAACCACCCCAACAGACACGGCCGAGAGCAAGACGCCGCGAGTACGAACACCCACAGCCGAAACCACCACCATGGCCTCGCCACAGCCTCTGCGGCCCGGTTTAAAGAAGACAATGAGCCATGGGAACGCCATATCGCATTTACAACCTGCGCAAGTCAGACAGCTTCGAGAGGGTTTCGAGGTCCTGGATCGCGACAGCGATGGCGTCATCAATAGGGAAGATGTAGCCGACATGCTGAATCAGTTGGGTAAGATTGGAAACCTCAACATATCAATCGAGTTCCCTCGTTTAACAAATTTTCCAGGCCTGCCGTCCAAACCCTCCGACGTGTCAAACTTCTTCCCGCCATCAACACCTCAAACGATGACAATGGCTGCGTTCCTGAATTCCCTTGCTACGATGCTCGCCTCCCTATCACCACAATCCGAGTTGCTATCTGCTTTCTCAGCGTTCGACGACGATGACAGCGGACAGATCGACCTCGCGGAGCTGCGGGATGCGCTTCTGCACACCGCGCCAGAGCCCGGCGAGCGACCGCTTACAGAGACCGAGGTTGAAAAGGTCATAGAGGGATTCACCGGCAGACGAGCTTTCAACCGCAACATGCAAGGCGGTTTAGGAAATCGCCGTGAGGTGTTTAGATACCAGGACTTTGTCAACTCCATCATGGGGAGCAATACGACATCCGAAGCTGCATCGGCGGAGGGATCTGAGGATTGAGCTTAATTCAGGCAAGGTACGCGGCGCATGGGGGAATCAAGGTAATTGTTGGTGACGACATGAGCGAGAGGCACGTGGGGACAAACCTCTCCGGGATGAAAGCACAAATACATGGAAACGAGGATTGATGAACGCATTTGGACATGACTGTACTTTATTTGCATCAAGCACGTAGGAGCACGGTAATAACAGGTATAATTTCGGCTGGGTTTCACAGCATGGCAGTTTGGTTTCCGTTTAGCGCCGAGTCCAGGGTGACAACGTGCAGCCGCAGGCACTTGATGTGACCACCGACAACATGAAGAGTGAGGGAAGAAGATGTGTGACCGAGATCGGGTGGGCGCAGCTCCCCAAAGCTCGAGGACATCATCCAAGCTCGCAAATCGAGACGCGATATGGGATTCTGGGTAATGGGAAAGGCTGGGAGACAGGCACCCCCGTTGAACGGGCAGTGCATGCACGATGTATGACTTTGGCTTCGACCTGCATGCGTGAGAGACGTTGACGACCCGCTCGCTCCGCTATACTTCTGTAGCTCTTGACTTTGAGAGAGCAACTAGATCTGTCAAGAAGGCGGAAATTGTGAACCGGCAAAGAGGGCGGCATGGGATGGGCCATGGTGATGCCATCAGCTCGGTTTGCAGGAGGTTGGGGATGGGACTGCTGCAAATCAGCCAGTGCCAGGCCCCCTTCTGCAGCCTGCACTCGCACCCGCAGTGCAGCACACATATTTCCAAGGGGCGGGCGGTAGTGGCGACTAGGACATGGGTCCTTGGATGGTCTGGTCGCTGCGTGCTCCAAAAACTAGGGACTTTTCATCAGACCTGACACTGTCTATCCGCAATGTACACACAGAACGGAGAGAAGTCTGAACTGAGGCATGAGGTGAGGCCCTCTCCCACGCTCCCATGGTGCAGGAAGTGGTCGGGTGTCATCAGAGACGGTAACGCTTTTCTTCGGGCGGTTCGGCGGACCACCCCAAGCAGCCTCCAAGGGTTCCATGACAGCGGCCAACCGTCAAGGCTGATTCGCTGACTGTGCAGGGTCCCGGGACGGGGCCCCACCGAACCTTCTCGAACCGGCCCGCTGGGTTGCAGCGAAAGAGAAGGAAGGGGTCACCGTTGGTTGCAAACGCCCCGATATGGCGATTTTCGTCTGTATCCGAGCCGGGACGTCGGACGGACGAGACATGAGGTGACGGCAGGTGCCTTTGGGCTAATACCTACCTTACTGTAGGATTTTAGGCTTTGACGCTCCTGTCAGTTGGGAGCCAATTCAGATGTAATGTATTCCTGTTGCCCGTCAACAACGTCCCTGAGTTTAACATCCGTTCTTCTGTTCGTCCCTCCACATGATACCCATCACATTCACTGTAGCTTTTGAGACAGGTCATTTGGGTCCCTGCAAACGCCTTGACGCCATCGCCTTCTGGGGGTCCCGTCTGGAAATGGAGACCCTCTAAATGGAGGCTGAACAGCTCAAGCTCCCCCCTCTCTCGCGAAACCAAAGTCTAGCCATCATCCTAGTCTGTTTCTATTTTCTACTGCGTAGTCAGTGGAAAGCCCAGGTCCCATATTCGTATGGACTCCGTACGGAGTACAGACATACGGATGCATGATACGGATACCCAGACGACTTTCAACCTGGTCCCCTTGGCAAGCTCCGCGAGAGTTCTTGCGCCTGGTATACCATTGGTCATTGGCCACCAGAAAAAAAGACAACAAGAAATAAGGGTGGCTAGGAGACGACAGGACACCAGGTCAACACTTCAACAACGGTCCAGTGGCGGTCGTCCGACGATCCCCTTCATCCACTACGGTGCAGGTATCACGGTAAACAAGTTGCGGTCCCCAAGCGTACCATTGGCTCCGCGGGGACTGCCAGTAGTCAACGGGGGACGGGACTGGGCCGTTTGGACAAGCTTCTTGTGGGGTTGGGTTTAGTGGCGGGCGACTCTTTTTTTTTTTTTTTTTTTTCCAAATCTCTTGGTGCTTGAGGTAAGGTAAGGTAAGGTATTAGGTAGGTGCCAGGTGGTGCTTGGTTACATCTACCTCGCATGCAGAGCTCAGCACACGCAAGTGACACGCAGTTCTGCATGTACTCGATACCGAGTTGGGTTGGGTGCCGTTGGTGATGGCCACTCCCCAATGGGAGTTGCCATGTGCCAGTTGCCCAGCAGAGCCGTTATTGTACATCCACGTTTGTGTTTCTCTGCGGTCGCAGCGGTCCTGCTTCTGCGCTGGTCCGGGGGGGGAGGATATCTCCTGTGCCTGCCGGGTAGGCTGTGGGCGTAAGTTTCGTACCATAATCCGTACAATGTACATCTTTTTGCATGGCAAGCTGTGTATGGACAGATACCCAGCTAGCACATTTTCCACATCACGCATAGCCAGCCCAGCACATGGGCATACGGTGGTGACCTTGTCCAGTCTCCGTCTCCCCCGTAATCCATAAGGCACTGGACAGTGGACGAATAGGCAAACCAGTCAACAGGCCTGGCAGACGGGAAAAAGCAACAAGATGAGAATGGAAGAGTGGGAGAAAAAAATTGTGCACAGCTGATAAATCTACATGAGTCCCTCCCCCTGGAGGTGGGAGAGACAGCCACAGCTAAGGCTCGTCTCGCTTGATGAATCCTGGGATTTTCGGTATTTCACCTTTGGCCTTTCTTGTCCCCCTGCCTTGGATTACCGAAAGATGACAACAGAAAAGCAACTTTGTGCATCCCGCTCCTAAAGCTTCTTCTTCCTGCTTTGCTTGCATCGTTACTTGCCTCTTTCTCTCGAATCTTTTCCTCTCTCTCGCTCTCTCTCTCCACAGATCCCGCCCCCCTCCCCCTCCTCTATCCATCGGCCTTGCCCAAAAGTAACGGATACTTTTTTTTTTGCTCTGCTTCCTCACTGGAAAAGCACCCTGCAGCTTGCGCCGGCTGTATCTCCCCTCCAGTGCCCACTCCGATGGGCTGTGTGTCTTCTCGCCGAGCCTCTTCTCAATAGCCTGGGCTTCCTTCCTCTTTTCCCTCCTCATCCGCCCTCACCTAATCTTGCCTTCCGGGAGCAGCCAATCCGTCTTCTTCTTCTTCTCTCCTACCTTACTCTCACTCACACTTCAACTATCTCGCTCACTCACACCACACTGCCTCATCATCGTTGTATTCGTCGGGATTCTTCGATACGAACGAACATACTGGGACCACCATCTGCAATCAACTTCCGCACAAGCCGCCCTCTCCCGTACTCATCCATCCGAGTCAAGGCAAGGTTCCGCTGCCTTCCACTGGACGCACCCAAGCAGCCCAGAAGAAAAAAAAATAGCAGGTGCTTTTTTTCCGCACTCTTGCCTGCCCGCCCTCCTTCACTAGGCCCGTTATTGTGGTTTGGGGAATCTGGTGCACAAGCATAACCTTGCATCGAGGTGTACCGACCCTCCTTACCTAATTAACCAACAAAAAAATAAGCCTGCGCATTCTTTGGTTCCCCTCAGAGGGTCGCCTGCTTTATCAATGAAGCTCTTCGCAAAGAAATCGTCCAAGAAGCAAGGTCAGGACGACGACGACAACCACCAAGAATCGAGCTACTTCCCCTCCTCTGAAGCTTCTTCTCCCACAAAGTCGCCCACAAAGCCCCGGTCGCCCATCAAGTCGCCGACAAAATCCCCCACCAAAAAAACCTCCCAACCTGCATCCCCAGGCCCTCGGGAGACAAAGCCGTCGCGCACTTCCCGCACCTTTGGCCGCCACCCCACCGATCCCGGCTCACGAAGGAGCAGCAAAATCGACCTCGATTCTCACCCCCTCAATCTTCCTCCTGAAGAACGTGCAAAGAGACTTTCTGCACTCTCAGCCATGAGTGGAAACGCCATGGATATCGACCGTGAGTCGAGCGCGGCGCCTTCTTCGCCTCCTGCTGCTGCCGCTCCCGCTGCTGCTGCACCCCAACCCTCTGCGCAGACTTCCTTCTCCGTTCCCAAGCCAAACGGCATCAACACCAATGTTAACGGCAATGGCGATGCTCCAGCCCCTCCCCCTCACAAGTCCAACCCCTCCAGTCCAGTCCCCACGACTGAGGACGAGGCCGAGGCCTACAAGGCTGCTGGCAACAAGTTCTTCAAGGAGAAGGACTACAAGAATGCCATTCTTCAATACTCCAAGGGTAAGTGTTGCCGATTGCGAATCTGTCTAGGCTACAAATTGACAAGTCTGCTCCAGCCATCGAGTTGGTCCCCGATTCGGCTACCTATCTGAGCAACCGCGCTGCTGCATACATGTCCAACACCCAGTACGAGTACGCCCTCGATGACTGCACCCGTGCCTCCGACTTGGACCCCGAGAACCCCAAGATCCTTCTCCGACTTGCTCGCATCTACACCAGCTTGGGACAGCCCCAAGAGGCCCTGCTCGTCTTCGGTCGCATTAACCCCCCTCCTTCAGCCAAGGACCAGGCTCCGGCCAAGGAGATGCTGAAGCACGTCAACGCTGCGCAGAGTGCCTTGAGAGACGGCACTGCTGGATCAATGGTGCTCCACGCCCTCGACCAGGCCGAGCGTCAGCTTGGCTTCGGAGCCTCCAGACCCCGCAAGTGGCAGCTGATGCGTGGTGAGGCGTACCTCAAGATGGGTACCGTCAACGCCCTCGGCGAGGCGCAGAATCTTGCCATGGGCCTGTTGAGAGGCAACAGCCAGGACCCCGAGGCCCTGGTGCTCCGCGGTCGTGCCCTCTACGCCCAGGGTGAGAACGACAAGGCTGTCAGCCACTTCCGTAAGGCCATCAGCTGCGACCCCGACATGCGGGATGCGGTTAAGTACCTCAGAATCGTGCAGAAGCTCGACCGCATGAAGGAGGAGGGTAATCAGGACTACAAGATGGGTCGCTGGCAGTCCGCCATTGAGAAGTACAGCGCCGCGCTCGAGGTTGATCCCGCCAACCGTGGCACCAACTCCAAGATTCTGCAGAACAGAGCGCTGTGCAAGATCAAGCTCAAGGAGTACGACGCAGCCATTGCTGACTGCGAGCGCGCCATCAGCTTGGACTCAACATACCTCAAGGCTCGCAAGACCAAGGCCAACGCATATGGCCAGGCAGGCAAGTGGGAGGATGCTGTGAAGGAGTGGAAGAACATCCAGGAGTTGGATCCTGAGGACCGTAGCATCGCCAAGGAGGTGCGCCGGGCTGAGCTGGAGCTGAAGAAGAGCCAGCGCAAGGACTACTACAAGATCCTCGGGGTTGAGAAGGACGCGGATGATAACCAGATCAAGAAGGCCTACCGCAAGCTAGCCATCATTCACCACCCGGACAAGAACCCCAACGACGAACAGGCTGCTGAGCGCTTCAAGGATATTGGAGAAGCCTATGAGACCCTGAGCGACTCTCAGTAAGTTGATACGTGTGTACGTTATCCACTATTTGCTAATCCCGTTTGCAGGAAGCGTGCCAGCTACGACAGCGGCGAGGACCTTATGGACCCGTCTGACATGTTCAGCCACGGTGGTGGCATGGGCGGCATGGGAGGTATGGGCGGTATGCACGGCGGCATCGACCCCGAGATCCTCTTCAACATGATGGGTGGTGGCGGCGGCTTCGGCGGCGGTGGCGGCTTCAATGGAGGCGGCTTCCCCGGCGGAGGTGGTGGTGGTGCGCACTTCAACTTTGCCGACGGTGGTGGCCGCCCTCGTGGAGGTGGCGGTGCCGGCGGCTTCGGCGGACGCGGTTTCAACTTCTCGACCTGACAATCCGAGTCGGAGGAAGAAGCAGAAACATCCGACGAGTCAGCAGAGTCGGGACGAAATACGGGCGGCTCATTCGCTGCAAAGCCGATGAAGAGCCACACGAAGCGGCGCCAAGAAGAAGGCGACCGGATTGTGGACAAGTTTCGCCAGTATGGAATCTGGATCGTGGCCGCCCTGGTCCTTGTCCCGTTCCAGCTCCTGTTGCTGGTAGCGGCAGCGGTGGGATTCGTGTACATTTGCATCATAGGGGCCCGGAAGCTGAGCATACGGCTCCGCGGCGGGAAATGAGTTTTGTGTTGTCTTTTTTTTTCGACTGCAGATCCGGATAGACTACAAACGCACAGAAAAGTGTCACGGGCGGCGTTTTTTACCCAGGCATCGATCGATCCAAACCGTCCCTTTTTTACGTTTCTCTTTACCTCTTTTTTTTTGTTTTCCTTTTCACACCTCTACAACCCTTTTTGTAGAGACATACCAGGGACAGAGAGGGAAGAGGAACAGAGAAGAGAGAAGAAGAGTTCACGACCAAACAATATCCCTCAGAAACCAATCCGAATTTCATGACCGAACCTGGGGAAAGGATGGGTTGGAAGGCGTCTTGCATATCTCATTGAAAGGGGCATATGAGTGATGATGCCCCTACAAAATCTTGTCGTGTGTTTTCTTCTTGCGCGCGAAGTTAGGCATAGTTGACCAGCTGGAAATTGACTCTGCAAACGTCGTGTGGAAAAGACTTGCTAGCACAATCTTAATTTCGTTGCTAATTAGTCCGTATATTCCATAACGGTGTGTAACGTGCTATTCACACGACTCTGTCTGTCTCTGGGTATCAAACTCTCTCCATGCACCTTCACCACTGGGTATCCAACCCTGGCGCTTGGTCGTCTCCAGCTTGCGCTCATTTCGTCTGCCCGGATTCCCCGAAGACCGCATGTCCTGATCCTCTCAAGGCCTCCCCCGAAGCTCGTAAACCAAACACCCCCGAAAAACAGCGCACCTCATAGCGCACCACCAGGCTTCCCGCTCCCAACAACCTTGCCCCCCTCAAGCACCCGCCCAACATCCTCCCTCAACTCCGGCATGCCCCTCTCGACATGATCCGCAAGGACATCCCGAAACTGCGCAAACGCATTCATCTTGCCCTTCATGAGCTGATTCCCGCGCCTCACAAGCTCCACAAACTCGCGCGTGTAGATGTCCGGGTTCCGCCCGTTCTCGACGTACTGCACCAGCTCGGGCGGGATCTTCGGCAGCGCGCCGGGGAGGTCGGGGGAGGGCGGGGCGCCTGCCGTCGCGGTCATGTGGACGCGCTGGAGGGAGTGCGAGAGGGCTTGGACCGAGTCTGCGAGGGCCGGGGCGGTGGGCGCGGAAGGGGTCGCGTTGTAGGTTGTTACTTGGACTAGGATTTGGTAGAGGTCTTGAATTGTGTCTTTTAGTTGCTCTGTTTTTTGGGGGGAGCATGTGTGCGTTAGTGAAATGCTTGGTGGCGCGACGTGGGTGAGGGTTATACGTACGTTCCAGCTCTTCGGGGGTTGGTTTGTCTATCGGCGCCATTTTGGGTACGGGTCCCCCGCGATATCTCGCTGCGTATTTTCGTATGTGTAGTTGTTGGCTTTAGGTAGAGGGTAGCAATGCGACGCGGATGGGATAAGCGCCTCGGTCGAGAAACGGTTGATGGAAGTTGTGGTGGGTGAATGTGAGGTTGCGCTGTAAGGGACGAGGCTGAGAAATTAGCGGGATGCAGTGGAAAGCAATCAAGGTCGAGGTTGTGTCTGGATTGATTGATGGATGGATGGATGGAATTGGTGCTAGCCACCTCAGTTGGCGGGATGGGCCGGTGGCACACACCTTGTGGGTGAGTGTGGGGGCGCTTGCAGGGATGACAAGTGCAACTGCAGACGGGGTCCCTGGCGCGACCAAAGCCGTTATGTCGCGACCCCGGTCTTTATTTGTGAAGAGGCTTTCCAGTCTTATAACCCCTCTACATGAATATCAGAGGGATGATGTTACAGCCAGATGGATTAGTTATGCTTCTCGATTCAGCCATGCTGTCGAGGCTCCGGCAAGAGCCCACAAAGTTGTGAGTTTAGCATTGAGGCATCCATTGCTGAAGATATATTCTATTCTCGAATGTTTCCCGCATTCCACACTATCACTAGCGGTAAAGGATACTTGCTCAAGTGCTAATCCATCTCTGGGGTCTGGCATGCTTGCCCCGCCACTTTCCTTACTTTCCGCTGAACAGCTTTCGTAAAGCCTGCAAATTCCTCTTCTTCCCCGCTTCGCCGGGCGAGTCGGCCCCATCCGAGAGAAGCCTCTCCGTGCTCTGGTTCGGATCTGGAGTCGGGCCATTACCATCATCCTTAGTCGCATGCCTCGACACCACCAAGCTGGCTCTGGCACGACTGGGTGGACTGAACGCTGACATGACTGGTCGTGTGATCCGTGGTCGCGGCGACGGGGACCGGATGGGGTTGTACCGTTCTAGGTACTCGGACGACTGAGGCGGAGGCGTTCGACGCACGGCGTGACGCCGTGGGACACGAGCAGGGACCAGTGGACTCTGCGGCGGCGGCGGTGGGGTGTTGTACCGCGTCTGCTGCTCGGAGGGCGTCTCTGGCGGAGTGACATAACCCGACGACGTCGTCGTGTCCGACTTCTCGAGACGGGACGCAAACCGAGAGGACGGCCGCTTGAGGGGCTCGTTGCTGACCCACGAGAGAGGTGGTGCTCGTCGAATTTCAGACGGCGTCCAGATCGAACGAGACCTCGGCGGTGTTTGCGGCGGCGACGTGGAGCGGGCCGGTGTAATTGGTCTGATGGTCGGTGTAAGTGAATTCGATGACCCTATTGAGGCGGTCTCGGAGATTGACGTCGCTGGAGTCTGCGAGAGGCCAGAGAGTGGATGAGACACATAGATTTCTTCCCGCCCTTCACTGGCCACTTGCTCAAGGCCCCGAAATGGCTGCATCCATATCGGTATGGGCTTCGTTGGACTTGGCTTGAAGGCAGGTTGGCCGATGGGATCGTTGATGGAGACGTATATCGTAGAGTCTCCGGGTGGTGTTGCCAGATACCCTCTGCTCTCGTCGTGGGATCCGTCTCCTATTCTGCGGAATGACGACGAGTCTGGGCTGAGAGATCGGATAGACTAGGGTGAAGTCAGCATCGACTCCCTCATCACACTCAGATAACTTACCGCCGGAGCCCTCCTCAACTGCCCGGCTCTGGTCTCACCAGCACCCCATCTCGCGCGGCCGAGTCCACCATCAACCCTTTCAACCCTCCTCAACCCCTTCTGCACCACGTCCTCCCCCTCCGTACCAACACAACACGCAGCACAAAGCGGCACCGCCTCCACCTCTTTCATGTTCCCCTTGCCTTCCGTTCCAGCAATCCTGCCAGCCATGCTCCTCCCATCAACAACGGCATCGAGGCCATCGTCAAAGAGGTCCAGCATAGGCACCCCTCGGTAGATAAGCTTGCTCCCGTAGAACATACACCCATAACACGCGCGATGCCAGAAGCACTACCCCAAGCTGACGCAGTCGTCTCCCCGGTAGACGATCTCACCGCAAACCTAGCAGATGGCCAGATCGATCAACGCGCCGTAGCAGTGCGAGCAGCTTAGGCGGGCTTCCCGGCCGATGACGTGTGAAGGGCCGTCGGAGAGCTGGAAGCAGAAGGTACAGGTGAACGGGGTAGGCGCCGTTGATGCCATATCTCGTGGAGGATGTCCTGATCTGGGACGGGCATGAATAGTCCCTATTGTGGGAATGAATGGATATCGGTACTGAAGTCTGCGGATAAGTCTGGAGAGAAATGCACCGGTAGCATAAGAGTAGGTAGGTGCTTCAGGAACTGTTTATTTACAAATGCAAGTACTTCAGATACAAGCAGTGGTTGCAACTACTATAACAGTCCGAGACTCCGTTCCTTCCCATGCGTCCCATCAAGCCGCACATCGCGGCTGCTGCAATTTGGCAAACATCACTTGTCACTCGCTCGGTACAAGAAATCGATGATCAGCAGTTCTTCTCTATTATCTTTGTCTATCCTACACACATGCACCGCTATTATGAGAAAATGAGAATGCTGTATCGCAACTTGCCAACACAGACCAACTCAAGCCCCTCCAAAGCTCACCTGACATAAAGCGGTCTCCTCAGTCCGATGCGTATACGTAGCAGAATGGGCCATTCACGGTATCCATGGCATCGCGAAGGGACAGTTCGGCGCCCAGAGGTCCCATGTACATCAAGTCGTCGAGTGTCACATTGGCGCTAGCCGGCTGGTTCATGGTGGTGTTCGTACCGAAAATGGTCTATGGCGGAAGTTAGTGCCTCGTTCATTGATCATCACAAGGTAAGGAAAAGAATATGAGCGGAAGGTAAGTAAGTGAAAGCAAAGACTGTGCGGGTTGACAACTGACCTGACGATTCTGCCAGTCCAAGTTCTGCCAGATCCAGTAGAGACGGTCCATCTGAGCGTGATGAAGGTAGAACACGGGATCACCGGGGCTGAGGTAGACGTCGCTCGAAGGGTCCCCTCCTAACGCATAGTGCCCGCCCCCGTGGACGCCTAGCTGGCCCGTTCCGACGTACCGCGAGTCCCCCTGTGCGACAGCCTGAAACCTCTCAATGTCAGCGGCGTCACGGATCAGGTCCGTCGTGTTGCGGAGGCTGGCCCAGCGCTGGAGCGGGTAGACGTTGAGATCGCGGCGCAGGCATCGCGGGTTGTCGTCGGTGGGCGTGGCCGAGTTGTAGGAGGTGACGTTGCCGTAGTCCGGCATGGCCTGCGGGCCGAGGTGGACCGTCTGGTTGGCAAATGGGGCCGAGGACGAAGCCAGGCAGCCGCCGCCTGTGCCGGCGGGGAGTACTGTTGTGGTGTTATCCCACGCGTTGACGAGGACGAGCCCTTGGTGAGGGGTCGGGACGCCGTCGCTGCCCATCGAGGTCGCGGAGCCGTCGAAGACGGGGCTCGCGGAAAGGTTGGCCGTGTCGAAACCCCATTCCCAGTAGGGGAAAGATCCTGGCGTGGTGTTAGTCTTGCTCATCTTGCTTTCATGTTAGAGCATGTGTATGAGGAGTGATAAGTGTACCGTTGTAGCCGCACTCCGACTCCAGCTTGTTCTCATATGTCCAGATGTAGTAGCGATGCCAGAGGAAGAACGTTGCCTGAGATGAGTACTCCAATTAGCGGGAGGTTCTCCTACACATACAAGAAACTGCTTCGTCTGGGTCGATAACCTACCGACAGGTGGACGTAAAGTGTCGCTGCCTGGTGCAGGGCCACAAAGTCATCAAACATGGACTTGGACCCGGCAATCTCGGTGAATAACTCCGGCTGCTGCTGGAGGCAGGTCACGGCATCGGTGTACCTAATGCGCTCTTCATCCGGCATGTTTCTCCTGTAAGGAAAAGCACAGTCGATGTCAGTCCACAAGTTACTTCCCCTATCAAATTGTCTGCCCTATCCTCTTCCCTCTTTCCTCAAGACTGGGCCAGGAACAAATCAGACCCAAAAGACCGGTATCAAAAGACTCACCACTCACGACGGACTCTGACATTGTCTTTTGTGCACTGCGCGGTCCCGTTCTGACCGGCCGCAGTCGCGTTCCCGAGACGAGCAATAACGTTGCTGTAGGCCTGTTTGTTGAGATCAGACAGCACAGCGCCAGAGTCGATGGCTTGTTGGGTATAGTTCGTCGCTCTGGACGCCACCGCGAGGCCATAGACGCCGCCTGGGACCAGCAGCGTCAGCGCCGGCAAGACGGCCGCGAGAACAGATGCTTGAGGGAGCATTGTGAAACTGAGAAAGGACTTGTGGACCTAGGCGGAAAAGGGCCTTATAGAAAAGAAGCGAGCATGTGCCGGCTTGGAAAGGCTCTCTGCTGCTAATGGAATATACCGAAAAAGGTATGGGGAGGGGGAAGCCAGGCTGAGGATTGGAATGTCTTGCTTGTCCAGCCATCTTCCTCTCGTCGAAAGGGCGGTCACTGACTCTACTCTTTATACTGAGTTGGAAGTCCACAATGTTTTGCCAAGAGAAAGGGTGAACATGTCGTGCCATGGGCTCGGCGATGATCAACGTGTTCGAAGCTTCATTTTCCCCCTCTGCCGCCCTTCGTCTTCCTCCTCTTCCAGAGAAGGTGACAAGCACAAGCAGCTGCAAAGCTACCCGGCTAGTCGGGATACAGACCCACAGGGATCACGACGTACAAGGGGGGGAAGGTGAGCAAAATAGACAGACATGACGACGCTTTCATGGCTGTGAGTATACGTGTACAGGTTGGTGGGAAAAGGAGGGCAAGGGCGGGAAAGCGCCAAGAGTTGTACTTGAGAAGCACGGCGTAGTGTTGGAAGTGAAGCGGAGCCAAGAGAAGTATGTGAGAAGCCCGCCGGTTGGGTGAGGGCCAAGCCGGACAGCCGCGGTCTCGCGTTCGGGAGCTGAGGTGTGGTGTGGACGGGATGGTGGTGGTTCTGGTCTTCCGGGTGACGGGAGAAGAGATCCAGCTTGCTTTCCGTGATGGACGGCGTGATTCGAGAGGCCAGACGGGGAAGAGAGGGGGCCAGAGTAGGAGTGAAGGCTGTGAAGCAGAGACGATAACCCGCATGCTTCGTGGACGGTGGACATTGAAGACGTGGTCGGCCGAGCGCGGCGGAGGAGGTCCGAGCCAAGGCGATGGGAAAGTGATGTGGGATATGTAGAAGGGAATGGAAGGCTGCAAAGGAGAGAAGACCGCCGTGTTAGCAAGCGTCGTCGGTCCTTGTCCCCCTCCTTCGTTTTCGCTCTCTGTTCACAATCAAAGTGTGGGAAAATGGATGATGCTGGTCGTCTTGGTAGTTGCGCCCGGCTCGATCCGTTGCGTTATCCAGATATCCTTCATGCCAAGAAAGAGGCGATTGAAAGGCTGAGTGTGTATTCGTTGGAAGCAATAGAGTGTGAACTAGTCTAGTAGACATATTTGGGCGGATTGAACCACGATTGCCAGAAGCTTGGATCAGAAGGTAAGCTATTCGGCGTCAATTACCCTTTGACGAGCATCTGGGCCAATGAAGACAAGATCCAATACGTCGTTTAGGCATGGTCTTGGCTAAGCTTTTCCCTCTCGGTCTTCTCTCCCAACCTTCTCTAGCTTGCCCACCAGCCTCAGCCTCAGGTGCAGGCCAAGTCGTCGCCCATAAGCTTCTTCGTGCCACCCCGGCAAGCCTTAGTTGAAAGAAGGAAGGAGGTACATGGGGGCGGTGGGGAGGTAAGGGAAACAGAAACAACCTTGTACCTAGGTTAAGTTGTGAGATATCGGACGAGAGGTGGGACCTGGGGTGAACAGGGCTGTGTAAGCTCAGATAGAAGAAGGAAAACGTTGTTGTTTACGTTGACGTTGCCGATCCTCATCGATAAGGGGACAGCTCCACGGCTTGACGGCGCCGAGGTCCGTGGCCCGTCGCGCTCCGGAAGGCGGGAGGCTCGCGGCCGGGAAGGAAGCGACGATCGGTTCGCTGACTCGCCAAGCCGGACACCTCGCTTAATTTCGGCGGGGGTTGGTAGGGACGCTTCTCAGTGTTGGGAAGGTGCGTACCGGCTCGTCTCCCACTCTCCCACTGGTTACACTGCAGGCTGCCACTCGAAGCGAGGATCTGAGCAGGACCACGTAATCCTGTGATGAATCACTGCAGTCCGCTATTTTCAGCCCGGAAAAGCGAATAGAAACAAGAAGAAAGTGACGAGAGTACGAGAACTGGGATTCAAGGTTTTCTTCTCACAATTGAGATGGTTCTTTGATGTCTGAAAATTCCAATTTCTTTCCTAGAAAACGCCACGCTCAATGCAAAATCAAAGTACAGCACACTAACCCCTGTGGTGTGTCTTCTTTTTATAACGGTTTTTGGATGGAACGTCTCTTCTCAAGCTTGCCTGCGAGCGTCTGGCTCAACGGCGAAGCGAGCTGGTAATGAGATCCATGGTAGGAAACTCTCTGCTCGGACATTTGACTACTCTTGAGGCAACGACGATAGGAGATGGGTATAAGGTGCCTTGCATCTAGTCGCGCGTCTCTCTTTGTCCCCCGAAAAGTTTGGAGAGAAAAAAAAAGTCAGTAGTCCCCTCACTGGAGAAGCTCCTCGCAGGTCCAATCCTCGTAGCTATTGGCGCGCAAGGTTAGCCGGGCATGGCTCAAGATAACGGTGCAGAATGGCCACGAAGCTTGCGTGGACAGTCCGGGGGAGGGGTTTGTCGTCCGGCACTTACTATCCGTCGGGCATGTAGCGGCGCACAATGAGAGGGATCTTCTTCTCTCGGAGCTCCTTGATCGCGATTTGAAGAGGATCCGTCTCTCCTTCCAAGTCCACCAGCACCGGCGCATTCATACTAATCCCATGCATTAGCTTGTTTTTGTCCGCGTGCATCGCGACTTTATCGCGGGGTATTTGCTTTGGGTGGGATTGCGGTTTGACGAAC